TCCAGCTCAGGCCATGGCTGCATCAGCTCCTTTAGACTCAAGATACTCATTGACTTTGGGACCTGGGGTACCATGACCTCAGGGGGATTCAGTGAGCCTCCTTCCTTCTACTCTGGGGTTGTGTTTATCCTGCGTTGCAGAGTAGCTATTCAGTCTTTCTCTAAACACCATATGCTAATGAAATAAAGGAAGGAGACTGCAATTATTAATATGCTTTATTATTGAAAATTAGTGGGCATCCCATTTTCATGGTACCTTTCCAAATAATAAGGATAATGGTTATTATTTATATGTCTCATACCTTTTGTACATGTATCATTATGCTAACAATGAAAGGCCAACAAACATTTTCAAATAAAACAGCTGAGGGCCAGGACCCTCAAGTAACCTCCCTGCCTTCAGGCTGCCAATGCTCTGGTCATGCTGCGCTGCAGCTCCAGGTCAGCCTGGCTCTGCTGTGTCTGCTGTGGATGGCAATGTTTCCATCTCCCTACATCCCCCGCCCCCTTCTGTTTAAATACCGCACATTTCCCAGATGGTTCTTTTGGTTTCAGGCGGTATCACATCTGAGTCACACTTGGCTAATTCGTAGTCAAAAAATGGTATGAGCCATCACAGTTGCATCCCGACAGCCAGTAGCCCCTTTGAGGTTGTGTGTACGGATCGCTGAATCTCCAAGACGGGTTTTGGAACTTAATAAACAACAGACCAAGAAAACTTGGTCTATTGAGGGTGCCAGAGACCTATGCTTCCCCCACCCCTCAGTGGCCCTGGAACCCAGGGGAAGGGAAGAAAACAATGTGGGCTTTTAATTAGGTCTTCCTGGCTGAACCGTGGGTGTCAGGAGCTGCTTAGAAGTTGCCTGATGCTTTGTGTGCGGGATGCCACCTGTGCAGTTCTGTTTTAAAGCGATGGGTCCCAGCATCTGTATACATAATTTAAAATAAATTTACATTCCTATTTTGCTGGCAATGATAAGCCTGTGTCCTGTTGTGATTAGAGAAAAGAGAGGATGGGGGAAGGGTGGAGAGAGGTGTTTCATAGAATACTAAGATTTAAAATTCTTTGAATGAAGTTTTAAAGTTCTGTTCAGCAAAGGTGAATTGTTAGGTAGTAGAATGGTAGATGGATGGATGAGTTGGTGGATGGATGTAGAAAGGAGAGAGAGAAGGCTATATGGAGGACTAATAGTTTATTTGGGAGTGATGGGATTGTAGATGCTTTTACTTTGTCCACATTTATCTGTCTTTTCTGAAATTTTCTACAATTAATGTTAGTGTGCAATGGGAAATCGCCTGTGATAAGCCTGGAGGTAGACAGGGCTGTGTCACCAGCTGTTTGTTAGTATAGTTGATCTTTGTGATGTATTTCCGTTTCTCTTCTTTCTGTTCACATGGAAGTTTGTATCTTCTAGAAGCCAGGCACAGCCCCGTGGCTTGCTCTCACTCTGAAATATGGGCAGAAGAGACAGTTATGCTGTTGGGTGGGAGGCGTGGAAATACCACACTGTAGAGGCTGGTGATGAGACAGTAGGTGGCTGGCTCCAGCTGCTTGAGCCCCTGCTGATCATGAGGGACATGGTCTCATTTTGTGACACCGAAGGCGTATTAATCCTTGGGTGTTTTACAAGGTAGAGTTTGGGGGGTTTCCTTGGGGTATGTTGATTGAAATAGGGTTCTTTGGTGGTGATGAAGCAGATGAATTCGGTATAGCCTATGTGAATCTATACATGTGATAAAATATGGCAGGGATTTACACAAAGGTATTCCAAATTAACAAATTAAACAAAACAAAACAAAACAAAACAAATGCACCCAAACACCCAGGGAAGAAATGCCTGCAGTCTCATACCCTGTATTGTCCAGCATCAATATTTTGGTTTTGCTGTTGGGCTAGGATACCTAATAGTCAGATGTCACCACTGGCGAAGTTGGGAGACTGATATATGGACACTGTTGACTCTATTGTTGTCACCCCTTGTCTTTATAATTAATTTTCGATAAAGTTTGTGAGTTAAACCGAGAGGGTAAATTGCGATCAGTTGCAGACAAACAGCCTGCCTTGGTGAAGGAAGCCCACACTGGCAGACCCAGCCTCTTGCCCTCACCTCACAATGAGCAGCTCACCCATCATAAATGGCTCCCGATGGTAGCCCTTCCACTGTGCATGCCCGCGTAGAGCATATCACACGATAGATACTCTCAAAACATTTCTCATTCTGTCAATCAGAAAAGCAAAGCCCCCGACCCACACACATAAATGCACACACACACCATGATGCCCAAGCTGTGTTTTATGTCCCTGCACTTACTGTCTCCCACGGTTTCTCTGCATCCCTCAGGGTCAGTAGCAGAAACAGGAAACCTGATCCGGAGGGCAGGAGAATTACCTGAGTAATAGTGTGGACTTGAATCACTGTCCCCAGGAGTCTAGTAACCCTCAGCTTGTGGATTAGTCTGTTGAACTACTTGATGGCTTGTGACCCCTTGGTCCCCCTGGATGTGTATGTTCTGATTTTGTTCTTATTGCTAGTGGCAGCTCTGTGCTTTATTTTAAAGTGAAGGGGAGAGAAGGACCAAAAGACAATCTACCAATTGGAAGTTACACATACAGAGGCATGCACAGGCCTACTTGATCCTGCCGTCATTTTCAAAGCCGCATTGCTTTGGGGTTACCATCTGGGAATGTTCTCCCACTTTTATGGGGGGAATATGCAAATATGCACATCCATTTTTATAACATGTAGCCTGCCTATCCCTTGGGACTTCCAGAGGAGGCTTGGTTGAGAGGAACAGTATCTCTGCCACCCCCTCCCCAACAGGAAGAATCTCTGACTTTGCTCTTGCAGTATATTCAGAGGTCTGTAAAATTTTATGTACAGTGTGAGTGCCATGTTCCAAGCAAGTGAGACTGGGGCCAGAGGAGGCGGGCAGAGGGTGAAAGTCCACATTCCTGGCTACCTCTGAATGTTAATTGTTTACAAGGCATAAGAATCTCTGTGGGGAATGAAAGTTAGCATTGGCCACCTGAAGAGACTGTAGCCATCAGATAAGTATCAATTATTCAGACAGAAAGCGAGTGGGTTTCACTCTTGATCTGCAGGCCCTAGCTCTGTACACAGGGCATGACCTCACTGGAGCGGTTCACCTCTGGTGGCAGTGGCCTTCTCTATAGGACAAGGACCCCACAGTACTCTTCCCTGATCTCAGGAAATTCTAACAAGACCAAGTGCGGTCACTTTCTCTTTGTCCCTGGATCAAGCGAAATGCTTCTCTTCCTCCTTCAGAATTCTACAGGTTTCTGCATTGTTTGTTATCCGAGGAATTGAAATCTACATTGGCTAACTTGCCTTTGCTGCTGGGGGTCGGGAAGGCACTTTACACTGCACCCCGTCCCCTAGACATGATCTTGATCCTCTACTAGGCTCTGCAGTGATAGCACGTTCCTGGAGGGCCCTTGGTGTTAACACGATTCTATCACCCTCCTGCATGGTACCCACCCAACCACTGTTTGCTGCGGGTGGCATCAGGGAATGCTTTTGGCAAGTAGGCATCTTATCCTTAAATCACTCCCCTCTACCAGGCAGGAGATTGGGTGCTTTATACTTATCTTCACAACTCTGTAAGCAGATGACTAACACCCACCTTTTGAGAACAGGAAAATTGAGGCTCAGAAATCCTAACTGGCCCCAACTCAGTGATCTTTCCAGCTGTCCTTGCCTGATGTCTGTTGCTCAAGACTTGGAATTGGTTAGAGTCCAGGACTCAGGCTGCCGAGATGAGCTGCTGCAATACCCTGAGTGTCCTGGAGCGGCGCGTCTCCATCTTAGCCGGTCAGGTGGAGGACACTCAGCTGCGCCGTCTGTGGCTCCCTTCACAACCTTAGTGGTATCATGTTATTCTCTTGGTCTTTCTTTAGCATCACTGTCTAGACAAGAATTCCCAAGATCACTGTTAGTTTTATGGGATTCTTCTTTCCTGAATAGGCAGGTGGCCTCTGCCTTCTGGCCTGCATGTCCTTCAGAGGCAGATCTAAGAAGCCATAGTATTTAATCTGGGACCCTAAAGTCCAGCCAGAAGTAAAAATTAGATGTGTCCCATAAACACAAGGCAAGTCTGACAGACATCCCTGAGGTTGAGCTTTCCAGAGTCCTGCCTTGAGCCCTGGCACACAGTTGTTGCGAATCCTGACCCCTCCAGTCTTCTTCTCATGTCTTTGCTGGAGGAAACTTGTGCTTTAGCATTAGACTGCCTTGCATTGTCCTTGCCACCACCCTCTTCCTAGATTGGTGATGTCTTGTCAGATGCCACTTTGTAAAATAGGGACAATATAGCCCATCTCTCAGTTGTTGTGGGCACGTGATGAGATGGTGACACCCAGCCCACGCTCTGCTCTGAATAGACGTGATCATGATTGGCATCACTAGTGTATCTATATGTGTACCACCTGTCTACGGAGTTTGTGGGTTACTATGCTGGGGTGGGGGTGGAGGCCTACATCCAGAGTTTTCCTGGACTAAACCAGAGGGATCTGGGCCTATCTGGGTCCATTGGAGTTTTGCCTGCTGTTGTACTTTCTATAAATGAGTTGTCCTAATTTTTGATGCAGACTTGGTGGAATCATTTCACAACCCAAATGGCAGCTTTTGAGATTAAAATGTCATCTGAATCCTTGCAGGAGCCAGGCTTTGTCCTGGTGTTCCCCTGTTGCTCCAATTTCTTAGGCCACAGACTGAGGGGAGAGAGCTTAGGCTGAGGACCCTTTGGAGTGGAACAGCACATCCCCCAGCCTGCAGGTTTAACAGAGTCCAGCCACACAGCCTCCCCAAACTTGGCAGTAAAAGCCCGTTCTTCCATTCATTCGATGATTTATATTCTCTCTGGGCGTCTAATATTAAACAGGGGAATTCTGACATGTTCCATAACACATTTACTGTAACTTGATACCATGAACTAAACTTGCTGTTATTTATCATTTCTTTTTATTTTCTCTCATTCCAGCACAAAGCCAAGGTAGAAGCAATGACCCTGGACCTTGCTCTGCTCCGTAGCGTGCAGCATTTTGCCGAAGCGTTCAAGGCCAAGAATGTGTGAGTGTTCCAGCAGCGGGTCATAGATCATAATAGCTTGCTATTGTAATGTCTTTATCAGATGAACACAACTGGGGGAATGCAGGGCTGCGGTGGTGTCCCGGCGTCCAAACAGGGGACTCATTTATATTGGCCTTTTAGGCTGTGCTGTCCTTTCTACATTGTGAGTCACCCTCATTAAGGGATGTGTCATCGATCTAATAAGGGCTCCCCAGTTAAAAAAGAAGAGATAGAATTAAAACGCTCCTAAAAGTGTCAGTGAACAAAAACCAGCCCACATGTAAGTTAGAGATCCTGGTTAGAGATACTTTGCAGCCCACCTTAGAATTGAGGAAAAGTATAATTTCACTGTGTTCAGGAACAAGAGCCCTCGATATCCAGTATTGCAAGGGGGCCAAGAACCAAGCCATGAGGAGCTTCTGCTGTTTTCGCAAGCCCGTGATGATGATATGATGCAGTGCGCAAAGGTAGCTCCAGAAAAACGTAGACATGTGTCATGAGACATTTGCTCCTTCTTGCCATCCTTTTTCGGTCTTTCAAGTTGCCTGAAGCCTCAGCCCAGGGCCAGCGTGTTTTCTGTCATCGCTCACTGAGCTTTCTTTGGAGCAGGCCCCAGCCCCAGTGCTGGGGAACACAAGGGCTAGCTCCATTTTCCTACAGTCTTTACTTCCCAAGTATTTATTTGTATGGTTGCCTCATATTTAGGGCAAGTTAGTACTGGCTTCTCATTTAACATCGCAGTTTCAGTTTCATTAAAAAATAGCTTCTCCAAATTATTTTTTTTTCAGTGAATTGAATTAAACATGAGGATTAAGTTAATAATAATCAGGCGGTGCCAAGGCTAAGATAGTTCCAGAAGTGGCACCAGAATGACTGGATTTGGGGAAGGCTGATAAAAGACAAGCTCCTTTCAGTTAAGCTCTGCCAGGATCATGGGTTTGGTAGTTCTCCAAGCAGGTGATGGATGTGCTGGGAGGCATCTGAACCACAGATTCGAATGGTCCAATGTAGGTCTGACAGTACCATGCCGTGCAGGGTCCGCTCCCTCTTGAGGCTCTGTTCATGTCTCATGCTGCTCTTTTAGACAAGACATCCGTTCTCAAAAGCCATTTCTGGAGCAAGCAAGTGACCTGTATCCTTGAATCACACTGACAGGCTTTAGTGGAAGTTGCACCATCCTCCTAGGTGCAGGGCCCCTCCTGTGCATGCTCAGCTCCGCTGCTGACCATTACCAGATCTCCCACAGACCTTCAAGTCAGGTTACAGCAACTACTTCTACATCATTGTCATTTCCACCTTCATCATTCATTGTTTATTTACTTAACACACATATTCTGAATGCATCCCAAGTCCCGGGCCCTCTTCAAGGCTTTGGAAGAGAGTGACTGCCACTGGAAGCCCCGTTAACCTCAGGCAAGCCATAATCCCAGTTGTCAACAAGCAGTTTTATTGCTAATGACCCAGTCCTTAACCTAGAGTTTTTTTTTTTTTTTTTTAAGATTTTTTTTTTCTTTTTTATTTATACAATAGCTGGGGTATAGGCCAGAGGCGCGGGAGGGTGATAGGATTCACCAGAGACAGAGCAGGGAGCAGAACAGGTAGACAGACTGAAGGCACTGATGAGGGGAGCAGCGGGTGAGACAGGAGAGGTCTGCAGCTCCATGTGGGAATATCCATGCCTTGCAGGAATCGAACCCGCGCTGCCGAGGCTGCGGACAGCTTCACAGCACCGTGCTTAACCCACTGCGCCACTGGGGAGGCCCCTTAACCTGAAGTTTTTGTGGTTGGTTGTGAGGGAGTAATAATGAGAACAACAATAGCAGGAGAAGTAGCCCATCTATTGAATGCTTATACTGGTCCATACACAAGGAATTTGCATGTTTTCTGATATAATCTCAAAGTAACTGGTTGGGGTGACATTAGGATGAGCTCTGTTCTACAGAGGAGGAAAGTGAGAGGAGAGAGTATTAATTATCTGAAGTCTCAAGGGTGAGATGCAGAGGGGCTGAGATCCTGCATGTTGAGTCACCCCAGGGCCCCTGCTTAACTGCCAGGCTATGCCCTGGTCTTTCATTTTCAATGAGATGGAAACTGAGATGAGAGACAGTGGGCGACTTTCATAGGGTCACTGGCCAGGCTGGTGGCAGATGCAGGATTTTCTCCCGGTTCTGACTCTGCTCTGGCGGGAGCTCAGAAGTGCTGCCTCTTCAGGCTCCCTCCAATCCTGGAGTCAGAATGCTTGGAAGCAAGCAGTTTTTCCTATGAGAGCCAACTGTTACATAATAGGACTAGCTTCCAAGTCTTAACAGGACCATTAGTTTTTAACCATTAAGTCGTTCAGAAATCATCAAATTCAAGTGCCTTTTGTAATCACCAAGCCAAGCCTAAACTCTTGGAGAAAGCCATCACCCATTTTGCCCTAATCCTTGATTTTAGCAAACAACTTGGAGCTTTTGTACTTCGAGGTTTAGAGACAAGGGCAATTTTCCTTTTAGCAAGCCCTGTACCACAATCCTCTTTTTTATGTCTCTGGAGAGTACAGTCTTTTACATGGCTTAGAGAAATATTGTGGTGGCTAAAATATGCATAAAAAAGTGAGCAATTTTGCTTTTGAAATGCTGCCAGAGTGAATTCTCCCCTGGATAGACAGATGACAGTTCAGTACTTACAGGTCTTTAGATTCAGAGGACTGTCAGAAGTGAATGTAAGTGCCAGCGACTAGGCTGCCAGAAAAACACGTGTAGCTATATTCTTATCACCTCCCATCTTCAGACATTAAAATTTCCTTGTGTGTAAAACATAATGACAAACGAAAGGAAGGCTGCCAGTTTGGAACCAATCTCTTTTTGTGCTGTTGGACCAAGGAGCGGAAAAACCCTAAAATGTAAATCCCACATGGATGCCCCCATTTCACATTTCCTTGTAAAGCTTGCCTAAGAACATTGCAGAAATATTGTCAGGCTGCTTCTCCCTATGCACATTCCCTGGGTTCATGCTGTAGCTCTAGTGGGGCACTTCATGCTGGGACAGGCAGTGGGCTGTGTCGCTGGAGACAGAAAAGTCTAAAAACAGATGCAAAGTACAAACATGGGATGGAGATGCCTCCTTGTGCCATGGAGCTACCCTCCATCTGCCTCCAACCAGGAGGAGAACTGGATTCAGCCTCTTCTGGGATATCCTTTCTTTGGGGGTACTTATGGAGAAGGAGGGAGGCCATCTCTATTTTATAAATTAAAGACCTTTTACAGAGAGACTGAATCACTTTCCTAAGATTCGCAAGTGGTGAACCCAAGTCTGAATCCAGAACAGCTATTCCTTTAGTGACATCTTCTTCAGCCATGTTTTTCAGAATATGGAATTTTGTGTTCGTTTGCTGTTGCTGAGTAACAAGTTACTCTGATTTAGTGAATTTAAAACATTGAAAACAACAAATAGTTCTGTTTTTCTCTCTTTGGTTAAATAGATTCCAATAAAGCCAATGAATTTTAACCTATAGTTTCCCCCTCACTTTTTAAAATTTTGCATGGTTTTGTTTATTTCTTTTTTATTCATTACAGGGATTTCTGAATATCACATCCCCTCTGCAACTACCCTTTGACACTTTCCTTTTTAAAAAGAAACTTTAATGCACCATATTTATTTATTTTTTAAAGATTTATCTATGATTAAAGGAGAACTGGGGTACAGGCCAGAGGTGGGGGATGAGAGGCTTTATCAGAGACAGAGTGGGGAGCAGAACAGGCAGACTGACTGAAATACACTGCTGAGGGGAGCAGACCAGAGAGGTCTGCTGCACCGTGTGGGTAGCTCCCTGGCTGACCAGGGATCTGACTAGTGCTGCAGAGGCTGTGGACAGCTTCACTATGCTGTACTTAACCCCTTGTGCCACCAGGGAGGTCCTAATGCACCATATTTATTTGAACAATGTTGTTATCTCTGGTCTAGACTTCCTCTAGACTAGAGTTGTCTATACTCAATACTAGTGACAGCATCCCCGTGGTATCATTTAACCTGTTCTTTTGTCTCCTAAGTTTCCTATGAAAAGAAGCTTGATCAAATTCCAGTTTAATTTTTTGGCAAGAATGCTTTGTATTGGCGGTATGGCCTTCCAACAAGAGGGCGCAAAGTCTGGCTTCCATAGCCACTTTGAAGTCTCAGCACCAGCAAACCCTGACCATCTCCTTGCTCTGCCCACCCCCTTTCCAATCATGCATTCTGTTAGTCTCCACTCATTCTTCTGGGTGGTCAGCCCAGGAAACCTCAGCCTGCTTCCAGACACTTCTCCCAGAGTTAATGGTGGTGGTGGTCAGCCAGTGTGTCTCAGGTCGAATTATTTTGGGCATTACTGGAAAGTTCCAAACCAAAGCCTGTGGTAAGTCCCAACCAAACTGAGTTTTGAAGGCTATTTTTGTTTAAACTGCAATCCTGTAATGCAGCCAGACTCCCCGCCGCTGGCAGGCACAGACATCTATGAGAGTATGAGAAGCTGGGACCCTTACTAATGATTTAGGCCAAATATTAAGATTTTCTGTAATGGGCTCTGAAACAATCATCCGTTGTTTGTGGTGCTTTTGCCTGTTTTCAACCCTCGCTGTAGCTGCTGAGCATATTGAAATTAATATAGCTTGAGCAGGGTCTGGAAGAGTTCAACACAGCTCCTAGAACTCAGAGCTCCATAAACATTTTTCCTTTTTCAGATAATGTTTGAAAGTTTGAGTTCCACATTATGAATGGATGCCTGGATTCCAATTCTGGAATTTTAACAATTGGTGATGGTACTTTATTGCTTGGTTTCTAGTGACCAATCAGCTCTTTGAATATTGACAATGGGTTTTGATTTATTCTTGAAATGACTTGACATTGATATTAAGTCCATATTCAAATCATCTATGCAGTTCTTAAGATTTGTGGAGCTCCAAATTTGATCATGGATTTCTACTGTTGCTTGTCAATTTCCTGTTTCCAGTATAATTATAATAAATGAAGCTTTTTTTCCACTT